CTCCTACCTCCCCGACCCAGGTGGATGTTTACCATTGTTGAGTGTGGATCAAGAGACACTCCTACCTCCCCCGACCCAGGTGGATGTTTACCATTGTTGAGTGTGGATCAAGAGACACCTCCTACCTCCCCCGACCCAGGTGGATGTTTACCATTGTTGAGTGTGGATCAGGGCTTCCCTACCTCCCCGACGGTGGATGTTCACCATTGTTGAGTGTGGATCAAGAGACACCTCCTACCTCCCCGACCCAGGTGGATGTTCATTGTTGAGTGTGGATCAAGAGACACCCCTACCTCCCCCCAGGTGGATGTTTACCATTGTTGAGTGTGGATCAAGGACACTTGCCTACCTCCCCCCGACCCAGGTGGATGTTTACCATTGTTGAGTGTGGATCAAGAGACACTTGCCTACCTCCCCCGACCCAGGTGGATGTTTACCATTGTTGAGTGTGGATCAGAGACACTTGCCTACCTCCCCCGACCCAGGTGGATGTTTACCATTGTTGAGTGTGGATCAGAGACACTTACTCCTACCTCCCCGACCCAGGTGGATGTTTACCATTGTTGAGTGTGGATCAGAGACGCACCTCCGACCCAGGTGGATGTTTACCATTGTTGAGTGTGGATCAAGAGACACTTACTCCTACCTCCCCCGACCCAGGTGGATGTTCACCATTGTTGAGTGTGGATCAGAGACACTTACTCCTACCTCCCCCGACCCAGGTGGATGTTTACCATTGTTGAGTGTGGATCAAGGAGACACTCCCTACCTCCCCGACCCAGGTGGATGTTTACCATTGTTGAGTGTGGATCGAGACACACTCCTACCTCCCCGACCCAGGTGGATGTTCCATTGTTGAGTGTGGATCAAGAGACACTTACTCTACCTCCCCCCGACAGGTGGATGTTTACCATTGTTGAGTGTGGATCAAGAGACACTTACTCCTACCTCCCCCGACCCAGGTGGATGTTTACCATTGGTGTGGATCAGAGACACTTACTCCTACCCTCCCCCGACCCAGGTGGATGTTCCCATTGTTGAGTGTGGATCAAGAGACACTTACTCTACCTCCCCCGACCCAGGTGGATGTTTACCATTGTTGGTGTGGATCAAGAGACACTTACTCCCCTCCCCGACCCAGGTGGATGTTCACCATTGATGTGGATCAGAGACACTTACTCTACCTCCCGACCCAGGTGGATGTTCACCATTGTTGATGTGGATCAGAGACACTTACTCCTCCCCCGACCCAGGTGGATGTTTACCATTGTTGAGTGTGGATCAAGAGACCACTCTCCCCGACAGGTATTTCCATTGTTGAGTGTGGATCAAGAGACATGCCTACCTCCCCGACCCAGGTGGATGTTTACCATTGTTGGTGTGGATCAGGACACTTACCACCACCTCCCCGACCCAGGTGGATGTTCACCATTGTTGAGTGTGGATCAAGAGACACTTACTCCTACCTCCCCCCGACCCAGGTGGATGTTTACCATTGTTGAGTGTGGATCAAGAGACACTTACTCCTACACCCAGGTGGATGTTTACCATTGTTGAGTGTGGTCAAGAGACTTCTCTCCTACCTCCCCCCGACAGGTGGATGTTTACCATTGTTGAGTGTGGATCAAGAGACACTTACTCCTACCTCCCCGACCCAGGTGGATGTTTACCATTGTTGAGTGTGGATCAAGAGACACTTCCTACCTCCCTGACCAGGTGGATGTTTACCATTGTGAGTGTGGATCAAGACACTTACTCCTACCTCCCCAGCAGGTGGATGTTTACCATTGTTGAGTGTGGATCAAGAGACACTCACCCTACCTCCCCGACCCAGGTGGATGTTACCATTGTTGGTGTGGATCAGAGACACTTACTCCTACCTCCCCGACCAGGTGGATGTTACCATTGTTGTGTGGAAAAACCTCTACCTCCCGATGGATGTTCACATTGTGATGTGGATCAAGAGACACTTCCCTACCTCTGACAGGTGGATGTTGTTGGTGTGGATCAGAGACACTTACTCCTACCTCCCCCGACCCAGGTGGATGTTTACCATTGTTGAGTGTGGATCAAGAGACACTTTCCTACCTCCCCCGACCCAGGTGGATGTTTACCATTGTTGAGTGTGGTCAGAGACACTTACTCCTACCTCCCCCGACAGGTGGATGTTCACCATTGTTGAGTGTGGATCAAGAGACACTTACTCCTACCTCCCCGACCCAGGTGGATGTTTACCATTGTTGAGTGTGGATCAAGAGACACTTACTCCTACCTCCCTAAGGTGGATGTTCACCTTGTTGAGTGTGGATCAAGAGACACTTACTCCTACCTCCCCCGACAGGTGGATGTTACCATTGTTGAGTGTGGATCGAGACATTACTCCTACCTCCCCGACCCAGGTGGATGTTTCCATTGCTAGTGTGGATCAAGAGACACTTACTCCCTACCTCCCCGACCCAGGTGGATGTTCACCATTGTTGAGTGTGGATCAAGAGACACTTTCCAACCTCCCCGACCCAGGTGGATGTTCCATTGTTGAGTGTGGATCAAGACACCTCTCTCCCCGACCCAGGTGGATGTTTACCATTGTTGAGTGTGGATCAAGAGACACTTACTCCTACCTCCCCCGACCCAGGTGGATGTTTACCATTGTTGAGTGTGGATCAAGAGACACTTACTCCTACCTCCCCCGACCCAGGTGGATGTTCACCATTGTTGAGTGTGGATCAAGAGACACTTACTCCTACCTCCCCCGACCCAGGTGGATGTTTGTACACTGTGTTGTTTTGGGGTCATCTTGATGGTTCACAGTTAACGTGGCATGAGTGAATTTTGGTCACAGATATATTAACGTCTTATTAACAGGAGAGATACTATTATTGTTTACTGTACACACACACACACACACACACACACACACACACACACACACACACACACACACTATTTAACGTCTCTTGTGCACACACAGATGAACTAAGAAAACCTTACCAGAATCTAACCTTATCTAACCAAAATCTAACCTAACCTAACATAACCTAATATAACCTAACCTAATCACGGTGGTATTAATTACATTCACGGAATTTCACGTTTCAATTTACATTCGTCACTTTTCACTTGACTCATCTGGCTATACAATGTGACCGAGTGATGATTTAGCTGTTTGATTGGCTGGTCGACTGGATAACGTTTTAGCTGACTGTCTTATTGATTGGCTGGTCGACTGGATAACGTTTTAGCTGACTGTCTTATTGATTGGCTGGTCGACTGGATAACGTTTTAGCTGACTGTCTTATTGAGTGGCTGGTCGACTGGATAACGTTTTAGCTGACTGTCTTATTGATTGGCTGGTCGACTGGATAACGTTTTAGCTGACTGTCTTATTGATTGGCTGGTCGACTGGATAACGTTTTAGCTGACTGTCTTATTGATTGGCTGGCTCACGTTTTAGATGTTGACTGGCTGACTGGCTCATGTTTTAGATGGTTGGCTGGCTGACTGGCTCACGTTTTAGATGGTTGACTGGCTGACTGGCTCACGTTTTAGATGGTTGGCTGGCTGACTGGCTCACGTTTTAGATGGTTGGCTGACTGGCTCACGTTTTAGATGGTTGGCTGGCTGACTGGCTCACGTTTTAGATGGTTGGCTGACTGGCTGGCTGGCTCGCTCACGTGTTAGATGGCTGGCTCGCGTTTTAGCTGTGCTAGCTGGTTCACGTTTCAGCTTGTTGGTTGCCTCACGTTTTAGCTGGTTGGATGGCTCTCGTTTTAGCTGGTTGGATGGCTCACATTTTAGCTGGTTGGGTGGTTCACACTTTAGCTATTTGGATGGCTCACGTTTTAGCTGGTGGGCTGGCTCACGTTTTAGCTGGTTGAATGGCTCTCGTTTTAGCTGGCTGGTTCACTTTTTAGGTGGTTGGCTGGCTGGCTCATGTTTTAGCTGGCTGGCTCTCGTTTTAGCTGGATGGCTGGCTCACGTTTCAGCTGGTTGGATGGCTCACGTTTTAGCTGGTTGGGTGGTTTACGTTTTATTTAGCTGGATGACTCACGTTTTAGCTGGTTGGATGGCTCACGTTTTAGCTGGTTGGGTGGTTCACGTTTTATTTAGCTGAATGACTCACGGTTTAGCTGGTTGGGTGGTTCACGTTTTAGCTGGTTGGATGACTCACGTTTTACAAGGATGGGTGGCTTTTGCTCTAATCCTCTGGCTGGTTAGGTGGGTAGGTGGATGGTTGGCCGACTAGCTGGCTGGCTGGCTAGGTGGCTGGTCTGGCTAGGTGGGTGGCTAACCGGCTGACTTGGTGGATGGTTGGCTTGTTAGCTAGCTAGGTAGATGGGTGGCTGGCAGGCTGACTGGCTGGCTGGGGTAGGTAGTGGTGTATCCCGCCATGTTTACACTGAGGGGTGGCTGTAACATCTCCCTTCCTCAGTGTTTACAATGGTGCGGATAAAGGCTGGGCCAGCATGACAGAGTTTAGAGGCACCTCCCAGAACACCACTGAACCCTTAATACTACTCCAGTATATACCGAGGCTTGATACCTTTACAATGGTCCCTTTAATATTTACCTAATGATTTGTGATACCTACAATATATACCTAATACAGTACTCCTACCTGCCTTCCCTGTGATAAGTTGAATGTATATATACAATAAATACTGTATATTTACCTGGGGATGATACCGTTTGTATATACCTGCCAATAATACTCATAATATATACTTGTAGATAATATTAAGAATTCCTGTACCTTATGTGATACCTATGTTGAATATATTCGTATATACCAGCTGTAATATGTCAACAAAACCACAGTCTATGAAAAACAAAACCACGAACAGTATCGAGGAAAGTGACCCGGGAATTTTGCATTTTTTCTGTGCTTGTGTCCGACTGTCCGTCCGGAAGTTGTAATCACGATGGCTGGGGCATTGTGGCGGTGGACTTAAGCCAAACTGTACAGTACTTACCCGCTAACATAATTAATTGATCCTTACCTTCTTTGATGGAGGTGTGGTTCTGGTAGCTCAGGTAGGTGGGCAAGACTCCCGGATGTCGCTGTTGTTGTTGCTGTTGTTGTTGCTGCTGCTGCTGCTGTTGCTGCTGACGCTGTACGCCTGCTGCTACTGCTGCTGCTCGTTGCTGTAACGTTGATCCTCCTCCTCCTATACCGCCGCCTCCACCGCCTGGGTGTTGCAGCTGGTTGAGGACCTCCACCACACTGAAGAAGGCACAGCAGAAGGGAGGTTAGATGTAGGTCTTGGGGCGGGAGAGATGAGGAACAGTAGGAAAGGGGGCATCTAAAGAATGGATACCCCAATTTATTTCACCTGTTAATTACACACCCTAACCTAACCTAACTTAATCAAATCTAAGCTAGCCTAACTTAACCTAACAGTAACATAACATAGTCCCCATTTAAGGTTATAGAATGTTTAATCATCAAGTGACATAAGCTGGGGGTGTCTATCCCACCAAAGTATCGTCAAACAGCTCCAGCGCTGACATTTAGCAGCGTCTGGCGTTTATCTGTCGCCTGCACAAACACGATACCGTCTACCTCAAGATTCCACCAGCAGAGGAAAGAGAGAGAGAGAGAAGATACTAATGGAAAAATACCTAAGATTTGTGTCAGCGCTGGCATTCAATATCATCTGGCGTTCTCACACTCTTGCAATATTCACTCACCACCTGCCTGCACAAGCACTCGCATGTTGGGTATTGTTAAAGTGATAAAATATGATTGAGTGAAAAAAAGGTTAAATTAAAGACTAAATCTTTTGCATTGAACCTAAAGAAGTTCTCAAGAACCTCCCTGGCTAGAACCCACCAAACCATCACAGAGTAACCGCTAGAACGCACCAAACTATCATAGAGAACCGCTAGGACGCATCAAACCATCATAGAGAACCGCTAGAATGCACCCACGTATTATTAGAAAAGAAAACAAAAACCGCTAGAATTCACCTATAAAGAATTAACACTGGAAACCTTAAGGAATCAGGGAAAGATTTTAACTATACAATAAACATCAATAACAAAAGGCTTTAGCTTACCACTCATCAGGATCACAATCTCTGAAGCCTTTAGCGAAGGGGTTACTGGCGATCTTCAGCTGGGTGATCTGGCGGGAAAAAACAACAACAAACAAATGAAGTCATATAATGCAAGTCGGGTACAAATGTGGTGGTGGATTAATTTACTATCTACATGTAAGAGTTTTTAAAAGTGATAAGAGGTCAAATAAAGCGAGTAATGGAGAAAAAAGCAGAGAGAGAGAGAGTATAGGATATGTTAAGGTGAGGTTATATTAGATTAGTCTAGTTAGGTTGGATTAGTCCAGGTTAAAGTTACGTTCGGTTTGATTAGGTATCATCGTCCAAGTTGTTGATGTACCAATATTGTAAATTTTGTCTTGTCTTAAACAACAAGGCATCTTCGCAGAGTACGAACGTGAGTGTGTGTGTGTGTGTGTGTGTGTGTGTGTGTGTAAACAAACAAACAAACATACATACATACATACTATACCTCTTTCCTCCCTCCCTCCCCCATTCTTACAGTAGTTACCTGACCCCTAACCATCCATCATACGACCTCTCTCTCTCTCTCTCCTCTTCATCTCATATCATGTCTCTCCCTTATTTTATCTTCTTCTCTATCCTCCCTATTATAGCTCCCATGCCCTTTCTCCTTCCCTTCTTTTTTTGCTCTTATTCCTTCCCTTTCTTTCCTTTCCAACACTTCCTCCCTCCCTTCTTCTTCTACTCCTCATCCTCATCCTCCTTCCTCTCAATCGAAATCCGTCTCTCCTTTTTCCTTCCCTCTCTTCCCCTTCTCCCCGCGTTTCCTCCCTCCCTCCCTCCCTCTACCCACTCCATCACACTGGTATGTCACGTGACGCAGCGCCTCCCACTCATTAGTGGAGCTAAGGTCGATTGCTATCTCTCTCTCTCTCTCTGTCTCTCTCTCTCTCTCTCTCTCTCTCATCCTTCCTCTGTTCTCTTTCATTTCTGGAATTTGTCTTATCTTTTTTTAAGTGTTATGTTTTGCTTTTAGTCTTTTATTTATTCAACTTTGCTCTCTCTCTCTCTCTCTCTCTCTCTCTCTCTCTCTCTCTCTCTCTCTCTCGTGACCTGTATGACGGTAAGAGCGCCTGGAGGTGGGGTGTTATCAGCTGGGCCGTCACATGCGTCACGTTCTGGCACTCCAGACAAATTGTTATGGTGGCGTCACACCTTCCGTCCCGCGGTAACACTGAACTGCATTCTCGAAGGTGTCTGAGTTTATTCTTCTCCTGCAACTGAAGGTGTGAGAACGCATCTGCCTGACTCACTGAAGCTACTACTACTACTACTACTACTACTACTGCTACGAGAATTTTTTTTCTACTACTTTTTTTTTTACCTCCATCCTTCCCTAATAGCCATACCTTTGCCCCCATTTAATTACCTTAAAATTAAATATCCTAATACATAAGTAGCTATCCTAGCTGTGTTGAGTTAGTTGAGCCGCAGATCTATGCGGCATTCAGTGACTGTTGCCTCATAATCAATATCTGCAACTGTTGTCGGCTTTGGGGCCCATGCTCTCGTTCCCCTGAGGCAGAGCAAAGCCGACCGAAGGAGAGAGAAGGCCAGTCGACATCTCATCCAGGCTGTAACATAACTTCTGGGCTGCTGCTTCTGTTCGGATAGCACCTCCGCGAGTCTGGCGTAGAAGCATCTTGCACTTGGTCCCATCCCACCAGAGGTTGTGAACACTAGAGGAGTGAAGCTGCCATGATCAACGTTCTGAATTCTCTCCCCGTATGCCCTTATCTTGTCGTTCTCGTTCCTCCTATGTGCAGCATCGAGAGCTAGGTTACGGTGACATGCGGCCATGGGATAAAAAATCCTGATGTCGAAGAAGGCTCGCTGTCCCTGCGTCCAGAATCCTCGAGCACTGACGTCAACACAGGCTTCGTTGGATGTGTTTTACTACTACTAGTAGTAGTAGTTTTTATTGATTAATATGGCCTCTAACCTTCCCTTATAGTCATCCTTTCATTTTATTACCGAACTAACCCAATGCAAAATAATCTACCCTAGCTGTGTTAGTGATTCAGTTAAGCCGCAGATCTACCTGGTATTCCGTGACTGTTGCCTCAAAATTTATGTCTGCGATTCTTGTTGGTTTACGGGCCGATGATCTTATTCCCTGAGAACAGCAGAGCAGACCTGAGCAGAGAGGAGGATAGGCCACACCTCAACCTTTTTAATGAATATAAGCAATTAAAGTTTGAATTTATCCACAAGGGTGTTCAGAACGTAATATATCTCTGAATCGTACAGTCAACCTCAGTGATACTTTTTGGGATGATGCATCTTAATACTTCGGTGTATAACAATAACAATTTACCGTTCTAGGTGAAAAGTCAAGGTCGGAAGGGAAGGTTAAGGGCGGCCGTCACATCACGGTTGGTGAGGGTTGCATCATAGTCGACACGCGCTGATTTCGTCAATGGACGGCCATTTAATCGATCTAAATATTGCTTTTATCTCCGTTATCATCAATTTGCACAAGAAATATCAAAGAAGAAAATTGAATCAGAATTAAATTTATACAAGAAGAACCTATTTTCATCCTCAAGTCCAGGTCTTGTGTTAACCCGATTAACGTAGGTTAGGTTAGTTTAGTTTGCATTACATTAGCGTTTGGTTAGGTTAGTTTAGCGTCCACACAATAAAGAGTAGAGAGGGGTGACTCACACGGTGGTTCTGGTAGGCGGTGACGGCGGTGAACTTGGTCTCCGGGAACACAAACGTACTGAAGTTGTCGGTCGCTGACACGTCTTCTGTTTTGGGGTTGACATACACCACGTGGAACCTGGGCTGGTAACGGTGCATCGAGTTGAGGATTATCTGTGTGGAGAGACGGGGGAGGTTATTAGGTGGGTGTGGGGTGGCTATTAGGGGGTGTGGGTGGCTTTTAAGGGGTGTGGGGTGGTTATTAGGGGGTATGGGGTGGTTATTAGGGTGTGGTGGCTATTAGGGTGTGGGTGGCTATTAAAAGGTGTGGGTGGCTATTAAGGGGTGTGGGTGGGGGTGTGGGTGGCTATTAAGGGGTGTGGGGTGGTTATTAGGGGTATGGGGTGTTTATTAGGGGGTGTGGGTGGCTATTAAGGGGTGTGGGTGGCTATTAAGGGGTGTGGGTGGCTATTAAGGGGTGTGGGGTGGTTATTAGGGTGTATGGGGTGGTTATTAGGGTGTATGGGGTGGTTATTAGGGTGTATGGGGTGGTTATTAGGGGTTGTGGGAAGGTTATAAGGGTTGTGAGTGTAGGTTATTAAAAGGGTGGTGTATTTGTGGCTTTAGGAAATTTAGCTTGTTGAAAGGAGTGTAGTTATCTATCTATCTATCTATCTATCTATCTATCTATCTATCTATTATTTATATATCAGTACAGTATCTTATATATTAATTTGCTTTAAGTATTTTTTTTATGAATGAACACCACAATTAAGCTTAATCACGTACATGGCCGTTATCGTCAAGCTGATTGTTGGTCAGCTTTAGCTTGTCGAAGGAGAGGACCTGTTTCATCCACTGGGCACCTTTGGCCGGTGAGTCAGGGTGAACATGTATCCTTGGGGGGGAGTTGGGGTCGGCCTTCCCTGCGACTATCCATGACGAACTGTGGCAGAGAGGAGAGGTCATGTTAGGGTAGGGTATAGGATAGGGGTGCTTTGATGGTGGTGGTGGTGGTAGTGGTGGTGATGGTGGTGGTGGTGGTGGTGGTGGTGGTGATGGTAGTGGTGGTGATGGTGTGGTGGGTGGGTGGTGGTGGTGGTGGTGGTGTGGTGATGGTGGTGGTGGTGGTGGTGGTGGTGTGTGGTGGTGGTGGTGGTGGTGATGGTGGTGGTGGTGGTGGTGGTGGTGGTGGTGGTGGTGGTGGTGGTGACGGTGGGTGGTGGTGGTGGTGGTGGTGGTGGGTGGTGGTGGTGGTGTGGTGGTGGTGTGGTGATGATGGTAGTGGTGGTGGTGGTGGTGGTGGTGGTGGTGGTGGTGGTGGTGGTGGTGGTAGTGGTGGTGTGGTGGTGGTGGTGGTGGTGGTGGTGGTGGTGGTGGTGGTGGTGGTGATGGTGGTGGTGGTGGTGGTGGTGGTGGTGGTGTGGTGATGGTGGTGGTGGTGGTGGTGGTGGTGGTGATGATGGTATTGGTGGTGGTGGTAGTGGTGGTGGTGGTGGTGGTGGTGGTGGTGGTGGTGGTGGTGGTGTGGTGGTGATGGTGGTGGGTGGTGATGTGGTGGTGGTGATGGTGATGGTGTGGTGGTGGTGGTGGTGGTGATGATGGTAGTGATGGTGGTGGTGGGTGATGTGGTGGTGGTAGTGGTGGTGGCGGTAGTGGTGGCGGTGGTGGGTGGTGGGTGGTGGTGGTGGTGGTGGTGGTGGTGGGTGGTGGTGGTGATGGTGGTGGTGGTGGTGGTGGTGGTGGTGGTGGTGGTGGTGGTGGTGGTGGTGGTGGTGGTGATGGTGGTGGTGGTGATGGTGTGGTGGTGGTGGTGGGTGGTGGTGATGGTAGTGGTGGTGATGGTAGTGGTGGTGATGGTAGTGGTGGTGGTAGTGGTGGTGTGGTGATGGTGGTAGTAGTGATGATGATGGTAGTGGTGGTGGTGATGATGGACAGACGAAAAACATACAGACAGGCAAATAAGGTACTACCACCTGGAAAGATATTGAAAGCATAATGTGTTGTTTAATGGTGTGTTAATCCCCGTAAAAAAAAAGGTAGACAGTAAGCAAATCAGACGGACAAACTGACGAAAACAAGTAAGTAGCCATACATACATAAAGACAGATAGACGCAAAAATAAACAGACAAATATATGCAAACAGACAGACGAAAAAAAAGACAGACAGATGAAATACAATTACGCAAAAACGTAAACAAAATGACAGGCAGATATGCAAACTAACAAGACAGGCACAGATGAAATACAAAAAAATACAGGCAGAAGGAAAAACCAAGACACAGACAGACAGACAGACCTACCTGTGGAAGGCGTATCTATACCGCTTGTCGTCAACAGGTATGAAGTCCATCATTAGCATGTAGTCACTTCCAGGGTCCATCCCCAACAACCTTACTTGGAAGGTCGGAAACATTCTTCTGTGGGAGAGAGGCGTAGAGGGTGAGTGTGGGTGATGGAAGGAGGGAGGGAGAGAGGGGGTGAAGCAGGGAGGGTGTGGGGTGAGGCAGGGAGAGTATGGGTTAGGGAAGGAGAGTGTGGAGTGAGGGAAGGAGAGTGTGGAGTGAGGGAGGGAGAGTGTGGGGTGAGGGAAGGGAGAGTGTGGGTGAGGGAGGGTATGCGAGAGTGTAAGTGAGGGAGGAACTCAACAGAGCCATCTCTAATACCAAAAATAAAGCCCCTGGTTATTCAGGCATCACCAAGGAGATCCTCAGCCACGTAAACAACCCGGCCATGGACAGACTGAGAACCACAATAAACGCTTGCCTTGCCTCGGGATACTTCCCAACTAAATTCAAAGAGGCCATTATTACCCTAACACCAAAACAAAGGAAAGAACCCCGCCGTCCCACTAAACTACAGAACGATCTCCGTCCTCGAAGTACCTGGAAAAATATTAGAAAAAATCATCAACAACCGTCTGGGAAATCACCTGGAAGCAACAAACAGAGTCAAGTGTAGACAATTCGGGTTCAGGAAAGGGAAGTCCACCACAACAGCGATAGCCCTGGCATGTGAAAACATAGCCAGAGCCGCGGCGAGTGGTAGACAATGTAATCTAACTCTCCGGGATGTAGCGAAGGCATTTGACAAAGTCTGCCATGACGGTCTAAAATATAAGATCCTCCAACTTGGACTTCCCACCAACATTGAAAAGTTGCTTTGCAACTTTCTTGACGGCAGAAATGCCAGACTGAGGGTAGGACAACACACAGGAGAGACCTTCCAACTCATGAGTGGAGTCCCTCAGGGGAGCGTCCTCTCCCCCACCCTATATATTATCTACACAAGTGACACTCCGCCTCCCACTAGAATTGGTAACGAAGATATTATGTATGCAGATGACATCACTCAAATAACAACACATCAAGGAAAATCGCGAGCGCTACAGGCCGACAACACCAGGCGGGAATTAGAAAGCGTAAATAATAACGAAAAACAATGGAAAATCCAAACCAGTCTCCCGAAATTCACAGTGATACCCTTGTGCAGAAGGAAAACCCATCCATTGGTAACTAATAATGCCCAGATAGAATACAAAAGCAGAGGGACCCTCCTGGGCCTGCATATATCCACGACAGGTTACTCCCATCATGTCCAAACCAGGAAGGAAAAAGCAAAAAGAGAGCTGAGAAAACTATACCGCTTTAAAGCGCTTCCTGAGAAAATTAAAACTCCGCCTAGTGACATCATTTATCACACCGATATTAACTTACCCAGCAATACCTCTTCATACTATGAGCACCACTCAAATATTAAAATTACAGGTGGTTCAAAATGAAGCCCTAAGATTCGTCATAGGCGAAAAATACCCTTTCACCAGAACCACAGCCGAGATACATAGAGACCTGAGAATGAAACCCATCAACCAGCAGCTGTACACCCTGGCCAACAGAATCTGGCAAATGATAGAACGATCAGAGCAAGAACTCCTTCAAAGACTCCCACCAGATAACGACAACAACCATACATAGTTCCCAAAACGTTACCAAATCTCAAAAGGTCCATTACCATCCCCGATCTACACGGCCAGGCAATAGACAACCTCTATAGACCAACATCCGCCAGTAGGGTCGGTGGAATATGAAATAAGGCCCTTAAAACACCCATGTATGGGATGGGGTAGGATGTCTAGTGCCTGTACCGACAGACAATAAATAACCCATGACACAACCCTAACACACCATTACCTTAGATAGGCGGTCAGCCGGCCCTCTCCTACCTCCTCCTAAACTTCTTCAATTTCCGAACTATAACTTCCTTCCCCCACCTCTAATCTTCTTTCACCCCTCCTACTCTCAAAAAAAAGGGGGGAGGGAGGGAGAGTGTGGGGGTGAGTGATAGTAGGCGAGGGAGGGAGACGGGATGAGTGAGAGGGAGGAGAATGTTCAAATGAATAACAACATTCAGCATGGGAGTCTGAGAGTCTTTGCGTCGCCTGACCTTTGCGGTTTTGGGTGAAAAAATGTCCGCAAGAGCCTTTGAGAAAAAACCGAGTACGCAGCAAGAGATTTCCAGGTGACCTCAAGTGATAATGACCATCACCTGGAAAGTAAATGTGAGTGTGTAAGGTAATGGTCATTTCTTAAGCCCCCTCTCCCCCTCCCTAACACACCAGCAGATACACGACAAAAAACGCCCAAATGACGCGACGGTCACGAGCCACCACACCGCCACCCTCAGCGACGACAGACGACCCATGCGTTTTTTTGTGTGGTTGCACTCGACCTGGTAAACCTTCCCCGACCCCTAGGCCACGACTTTTAAGTGTGTTAAGTTTTGTATTAGTCAAAAAGGCAATCATGAACTCCACATAGTTCCCAGTTCGGCGCTGTATTGCTTATGCGCTTCGCCTTGCACAGGGTGTAAAGGACGCCCATTAAACTAACCCCCGCGCTGCGTGTGGCACATCTGAAGTCTGATCTTAAAAGTTCCCCTAAACAGATAATTTTAATATTGTCTCCTAACTGGCGGCAAATGAACGTAACTGTCTCACTTAAAGCAATGACACAAGAATGGATTCTCAAAGATCCCGACGTGGCTAAAAGACTACATCAAAGTTACGGTTATCTCAGCAGTTCCGACTCTATTTTGGCATCTAGATTTGTGCCCAGTCTGCATGAGATGATCCAGATGGATGTTTTCTTATGTTTCTCCTCAGGGAAAAAACAATTTGAAGACAAATTTTATTAACCTTTGAGAATCCAGATTTGTGTGGTGTCTTATGTGAGTCTGTTGAGGCCTTCTGGGATTTTTAGACAGAGAGAAAATCCTGTTCCATTTTTTCTCGTTTTTAATTTGTATAACATACCGAGTTTTTGTTAACTGGCGCGTCATAAGGACAGGTATAAATAGATGTTTACAGAATGATAACAGGACCCAACACTGTCAAGGGTCAACACACATTATTAATTCCGAAGTAACAGTAGGCTACAGTTACATGTTTAAGTACATAATAGTGTACTCATAATGATAGAGTACACAGATTCATTGTTAGTTATTTTGTCACTTGTACACATAACAAGTTAACGTAAAGGGAGAGGCCCAGAAACAGGTACAAGTATCGGTAAAGATAAGGGAACAAAATTCAGGTACCGAGGCAGGTACAGGTACTGATGCAGGTCTAGTTACAGGTACACACTGCTCGTGGTATGAGGAGGAGGAGGATGACGAAGAAGAAGAATAGAGGGGGGAGGAGGGGATAAGACAGGGAATAAGATGAGTTGGAGGAGGAGGGGGGTGAAAAAGAAGAGGAGGAGGACGCTCTGCCACTTCTTGCAATGTTCATATTTCTTTTCTCTGTTCCTATTATCTGTGTTGCTTACCGTCAACATGTAGTTACTAGTGAGAGAGAGAGAGAAAAAAAAAGAGAGAGAGAGAGAAAGAGTGGGTTAGAGTGGTGGGTCTGGGTGATGGGTCGACCATCTGTGAGTCTCACTGATTCATTCTTTATGACGCTACCAGCACACGACCACCTCCTCCCCCTTCTCCCTACTGCTGCTGCTACTTGTTATTGCTGCTGTTACTGCTTGTTACTGTTGCTGTTACTGCTTATTACTACTGCTGCTACTTGTTATTGCTGCTGTTGCTGCTTGTTACTGTTGCTGTTACTGCTTATTACTACTGCTGCTACTTGTTATTGCTGCTGTTGCTGCTTGTTACTGTTGCTGTTACTGCTTATTACTACTGCTGCTACTTGTTATTGCTGCTGTTGCTGCTTGTTACCGCTGCTATTACTAGGTATTACTGCTGCTGCTGTTATTGCTGTTGCTGCTTGTTACCGCTGCTATTACTAAGTATTACTGCTGCTATTACTACTACACTGCTGCTGCTGCTGTTGCTACTTGTTACTGCTGCTGCTTGTTACTGCTGCTGTTACTGCTTATTACTACTGCTGCTGCTTCTGTTTATTTCTACTACACTGCTGCTGCTGCTTCTGTTTATTTCTACTACACTGCTGCTGCTGCTTGTTACTACTGTTCCTGTTGTTTGTTACTGCTGCTGCTGCTGTTTGTTGCTTGCTACTGCTGCTTGTTACAGCTGCTGCTGCTGCTCCTGCTGTTTGTTACTGCTGCTCCTGCTGTTTGTTGCTGCTGCTGCTGTTTGTTGCTTATTACTGCTGTTTTATTGCTGCTGCTACTGTTGTTACAGTTGCTGCTGCTGTGTTATGTTACTGCTGTTTATTGCTGCTACTGCTGTTTGTTGCTGCTGTTTGTTGCTTGCTACTGCTGCTTGTTACAGCTGCTGCTGCTGCTCCTGCTGTTTGTTACTGCTGCTCCTGCTGTTTGTTGCTGCTGCTGCTGTTTGTTACAGCTGCTGCTGCTGTTGTTGCTTGTTGCTTCTGCTTGCTACTGCTGCTCCTGCTGTTTGTTACTGCTGCTGCGTGTTATTACTGATGCTGTTGCTGCTGCTGCGCGTTAATGCCACTGCGTGTTACTGCAGCTGCTTGCTACTGCTGATGCGTGTTACTGTTGCTGCTTGTTACTGTTGCTGCTTGTTACTGCAGCTGCGTGTTACTGCAGCTGCTTGCTACTGCTGCTGCATGTTACTGCTGCTGCATGTTACTGCTGCTGCATGTTACTGTTGCTGCTTGTTACTGCAGCTGCATGTTACTGCAGCTGCTTATTACTGCTGCTGCGTGTTACTGCTGATGCTGCTTGTTACTGCTGATGTTGCATGTTACTGCTGATGCTGCTTGTTACTGCTGCTGCTACTACTTGTTACTCCTGCTGCTGCTTATTAATGCTATTGCTGCTGCTTGTTACTGCTGCTGCTGCTTGTTGCTGCTGCTGCTCGTTACTGCTACTGCTTGATACTGCTGCTGTTGCTCGTTACTGCTACTGCTTGATACTGCTGCTGTTGCTCGTTACTGCTGCTGCTTGTTGCTGCTGCTGCTCGTTACTGCTACTGCTTGATACTG